GGTTCTCATCCCTTCTCAATTCACCTGTGAAGCTATTGCTTGTTTGACCTGTTTGAACACTCAGGAGTCTCCCAGACAATTACTCAAAACTTCATGTAAAAGGTTATGCAAACTGCACTGTAAACATGGTTATCACGCTTTTTCAATTTAAATTTAGAAATGAGCACATATTCTCTTCTGGCATTTGATTTTCTGATCTTATGTCTTTTCCAATTTTCCCAAATGAGAGCTGTTCTTGTCTTTAGTCAATCCTTTTACATAGTGATTTCTCTTAATGGTGTCACAGTCATACTCTGTACCCTAAACTGAGACCCTGCCACTGGTTAGTGACGCTCCTCCTGCTTTGCAGCTCTAAACAACAATGACAAAAGCAATCACCCTAAATCCTAAATCTTGGGTACGATGACAGAAAAATCAACAAAAAGATAAATTATGAAAGGCAGGTGAGAAACAGTAAAAAGAAGGGTCCTGAAGTGAGGCTTCCATCAAAGTGTCCCCATGACACCTGTTTGGTTTATTTTAGAAAAAGAACATAAGAAATATGCAAATAAAAAGAACATAAGGCTTCCTGAATTGGTAGACTCTGTTTTGATATTGTTGAAATTTAAAAATCAAATCATATGTCCTATCATTTCTCCAGGAAGCCTCGAACTCCACAGAATGCTAAGAATACTCAAACTCTGTCACACGACACAGCGAGGTAGAGAGAAGGTACCTGCGCTTTCCTGCCATCGGGGGGTTAGCGCAGGGCCGTGTGCTTACCTGGATCGAGTCTCAGAGGGCAGTGGCGTGTCACCAATGGAGTGGCTCGGGGAGGCTGGCTGCTGCAGGGAGGAGCTGTGCCTCTGCTTGGGGGACCTTGGCACATCAGTAAAGGAGGAGTCTCGTCCAGAGAAGGAGAAGGTCGAGGAGCTCTCAGCCGTCAGGGGCAGGTCATGGGCCTGCCCGGTGGCACTCAGCTCTTGACCGCGTCTTTGGTTTTCCACGTTTAGCAGCATCTCCTTGTCGGATATGCTTTCACTCCCATGGAGGGCATGGTCCTTGGATTCATCCGTACAGGTCCTAAGCCCCATCGTCTCCGTCCTGGAGTACGGAGACGTCGAATCTTGGCTCGACTCTTCCTCTCTATCACTTTTGCCTCCCCGTTTCTCAACAGCATCGGGATCCTTCCTGGACTTGGTGTATCGAGATAAATACTCAGAATCGGCTTCAGGATCCAGAGTGAGCCCGTATTTTTCTGCCAGTTGCCGTCTCCTTTCTGCTTTGTACCTGGCGATTCTTTCAGCTTTGGACTCCAGGCTGTGGGTGTCCATGGCACCTGAGCCATGGGATAAGTCACCAGCAGGGACACCTGAGGTTTCTGGGCAGTATTTAGATCGAGTCTGCTTTTCTACGGAAGAATCAGAAGTTTCTTCCTCTTCATTTGACCGGCCTACAGGAAGAACACATGGATAATACATAGAGATTTCAAATAACACATATTTACATACAGAAACACTGTACAGTATTCCCTTGATCACCCATTCTGTGAAGGAGCAATTTCTCACACAGGTGTATTTACCTAACATGATGGGCCTGGGCTGCTGTGTAAGTCTGAGATCTGTGGCAAAATCTACAAAGGCTGTGAGAATTCTGCAGACCCTGCAAACCACCTAAGGCTTGGCTTAAACTCAGCCCAGCCCCTACAGCCCCTTCACTCCTGAGAGCTCTTCAGTCCTCGCCCAGTGCTTACTTCCCCTTGTTTACCTTTTTTTGTTTTGTTTTTGAGTGTAATATTTCATGTGTCAGGCCAGAGGATGAGCTTAAACT